AGCCCTTGGCTTCAACAAGCAATAACAAGAGTGGTGTGAATCCAAGGTTGAACAATTGCTGGGCAGATTTCCTTGCAAAAGTATTCTTTTGTGTGAGGTTTTTTTTTTGAGGGGGGAAAGGTTGTGGTTCTGGTAGAGTCTTTTGTGACTAGTTCTTGTCATTAGGCACAGATGCATGACATCCTCTCTTTTATAACCTTCTGGCTTTGTTTGTTTGTTTATTTATTTTATGTGATTAGGGCTTGATAGAAATGACTCCTCTTGATTCTGACAACCTTCACATATTCATCCTGTCAGTATCTTGAGCCTGTGACCAATGTCAGGCCAGGGGTTGGGGATGCAGCAGTGAACAGAAACAGGCCGTCTGTCCTGATGGTTCACAGGGAGCCTGTATTGATAACAGGTTGCTAGTGCTCCACACAGAAGGCACTGAATGAATGAAGCCAGATGGCGTCCTGAGGGTCTAAAAGGGGAGTTCTTGGTCCATGCTCTCCCCCCCAGCAGTCTGCAGGACTGGGACCCATCCAGGTCACACCCCTCTACCACTCTGCAGGCAGCTGTGAAGCCTGCCTGCCCCAGGGCCCCTATACTAGCAGGGCATAATGGAAACCCATTTGTCAAAGCCCGCTGCCACGTTTGATCCTATAGAAGCTGGCGATGCGCTGCCATGCATGCATGAGCACTCTGTCTCCACGGGGTAGGACATTAAGCCCAGAGGAAGATTTGTGTGCCACATCCGAGTAATGAGCTGTGAAATCGACATTATAAGTTTTAATTATTATTAATGCCTCACAGGGGTGGCTGTTGTTAATTGTCCTGTAGGCATCCCAGATGTATTTCCCCCTTCTCCTTTCATATCTTTTCTTTAATGTCTTGGGCCCACATAATGGCGCCTTCCTGGCAGTGTTTGAACACAATTCCTCCAAAGGGGAACACCCCCGATCCCTTCTCTGAACACATCTGTGGTCAAAAGGAAATGGGTGCACAGCAACCTGCTTGCCCTCTCAGGCTGGGTCATGGTGGTGTGTGGGGGGGTGTAAATCTCAAGTTTCCAGGTTGCCACAGTGAAATTTGCAGAATTCTCTTCCCCCCAATAGAATTCACCTGCCTCTGGGCCTTCCATGGACTAATTAATCTTCTAAAAGGCTTTGAAGATGAAAGACTGTGGAGAGGCCACACATTACCATTCTGAACGTTTTTTTTTTGACACAGGGAACTGGTTCCTGGCTCTTCTGCCCCCTGCATTAACCACCTCTCAGATCATTTCTGACATATATTTTCCCTAAGAAATATGTCTCGTCATCTTTAAAAGGCTTATTGCCCTCTCAGTTTTGCTCTGTCAGATGCTGTCTGGGCAGTCCAGAGGGGTGAGCAAGTGGGCTCCTCTGGCCCCTGTCCTTCCCTACGTCTTTCTTCTCCTCTGTGCCCACCAGCAGGAGCAACAGGCACAGGTGCATGACTACACAGAGCTCCTTGAGGTTCCTTTGCTTGCAACTGGTGCTTGGTGTCAGCTAAAGCCTGAACCACCCATGGAGCTGTGTTCAGGGCCTGCATGGTCCCCTGGCTGCCCCAGCCTGGCCTGCTGGGGACACCAGAGGAGCGGCTTCACCAGTTGGAGCAAGGGCCAAATGCTTTTCCCTGAATCTCGGTGTAGTCCCTTGGCTTACGGGGGTCCTGTGTCACACCTTCCTAACTTTCCCCACTCCCTGTCCCCCATTCAGGCCTGACTCAAGACTAACCTGATTCCCTTAAGCTAATACCATGCAGGGACACTCACAGGTTCTGCTCGTCAGGATAGACAAAGGACAGTCCTGAGCTGGGGCCCCTGTTAAAAAACGGTCAGTACAGGGGACCAGAGGTCCCCAGGCCTAAGGAGCCCCACCTGAATGCTGAAGGTCTGGGATAGGACAGGAGGTAGCATGGAGCTCGGTCTGTAAAGCCCACAGTTTCCAGAAGCATATCCTCCTTGAGAGAAAGGGGATGCTGCCCACTCTGGCTGGAATGGTGACCCAGTGCCAGCTCAGGGGGTGGGGTGCTCAGTCACCATGCTGAGAAGTTTGGCTCCCCTGAGGATGTGGAGAGCCACTATAGGCTTGTAAGCAGTGGGGGGTGGGCTCATCACGTGCTTGGCAACCAACACACAGTGGGTTGCAGGGGTTTGGTTTCCATGGGAGCAGAGAGGGATGGGGCAATCGGGAGTGGAAGGCATACAGCGTCTCTAAGAGCCTATCGGTAGAGCTAACAGGATTTGAGGAGGAACGAACACAAGGATGACCCCCTGCTTAGCAGCTGGGTGGAGATTCCACAGGCAGGTTGAGGCGACAGTGATGGTGTGGCCTGTGGACCATCTGGAGGATCAATGAAGCCACAGTTCCCTGAGGCTCAGAAGTGCATCCTTTTCAGGACTGGGGAGAAGGTAATATAAATGCCTCTGTCCTGGGGGCCAGTCTGCAGCCCTTGCCCTGGTAGGAAATGCCTCAGTTTCCCTGTCCCTATACCTCAGCCCTCCTGGACACACTGTATAAGTCAGGGCCACAGCTGTACATCATGGGGGTGAGCCGTTCTTGCAAGTGGTTTCCGTGTCAACTGTCTAGAGAAAGCTGGGGATGGGGGGTCCAGAATGGATACCCAGAATCCCCTTGATGCAGGAGGCAATTCAGGGAGGTGCCTGTGTTCCACTGCATGAGAGAGACACAGGAGGAGGCAGAACCGGAATGCAAAGGTCAGATCTGGCTTGTCCTGCCCACCACTGTGATCAGTATCAGCCAGCCACTGGGGCTGTGGCTCTTTGAGCAAACCCCTCTTACTCTGCCATGGAGAGGAGATGAGCCATGGTGTCAAGGTAAACCTTTTCTTCTGTGCACCTGGTAGGGGCTGGTTTTCAAGCTTAAGCTTTTTTCTTAAAAATGGGTTTCTTTAAAATCTCCTCACTGAATGAAATCTAAGTGTCTCCATGTGGTCAGTGGTGAAAATACTCCCATATCATGAAAAGGTGGGACTTGAACCTGGGGCCTCGCACACACACTAGGCAAGCACTCCACCACTGAGCCACATCCCCAGGCCTGTACTTAATATTTAAAATACAAGTAAACTAAATTGAAATAGAACAAAAAAAAGTACTTTTTTTTTATAATTTAACCTACAGGTGGGGCCAGGGTTTCTCAACCTTTTGATGTCCTGGGCCATGTAATTCTGTGTTGTTGGGAAATGTCCTGATTGAAGGATGTGCAGCAGCATCCCTAGCCTGTACTCCTCAGATGCCAATAGCATCTACACTGTAACAACCAAAACTGTCTTCAGACAAAGTTGTCCCTGACTTGAGAATCCCTGGGCCAGGGCCGCTGGCCCTTATGTGGCAGTGAAATTCTTCTGGTGGCCCACAGCCAACAGCCTCTTCCAGTCTTCTCTGCGTGTATGGCAAATCACCCCTCGGCCTCCGCTCTCTGAAATCAGGGCCTCTTACCATCTATTGTGCGGACATTACAAAGCTATCCAGAATGAGTATTATTGGACACAAACTGATTTTTTCCCCCTCTTTGAGTTCTGTAATCAAAAATCCTCTGGTGTTACTATTTAATTGGGTGGTGGTGGCTGTTTGTCAGTCTGCCAGCGGGTCTCTTAACTGCTGTCGCCTGACCATTCTGAGACATAAATGTAGAATGATGGAGTTGCAATGTGCTATTAAGTCCTCTACAAAGAGTTTTTGATGTCCTGCTGCTTCGGGCTGTTGTGCTGGTATTGATTGATTCGAATACTACAGAAACCCTTGGCACAGACAGCCCTGGTGAGAAAATGCAGCTTCTGGTAGGAAAATCACTGGGTATAGACACAGGGACAATGGTAAGGCTTTCCTCTGGCACAGAATGGACCTTGGGCAAAGCTCACTCAGTCGAGCAGGTGTTGGCCACCCATAAGGAAATGGAAAAGAAACCCATGCAGCCAACTGGTCTTTACAAAACAGGGCCAATTAGAGGAGCCCAGGAAGTGCACAAAAACATCAGATCAAGCCTTAGGATTGTTTGATGGACCTCTCGTTGCTGGAGAACAGAAGATTGTAAAGAATTCTGTTTCAAATGCATTTTAAAGGCTGGTCACTCTTTGACACCAAGGATGGCAGATCCTTTTTTGGATAGGTTGGGCAGATTTTGACAGGAAAGGCAGGGACATTCTCCTGATGGTAAGAAGATAGGAAATCATAGTTTTGGAACAGACAAGCTACTGTATGCAGCAAAAAGCTGCATATATCCCTGGGGGTGTTGGTCTGTGACAGGGGACCAAGGACCTGGGAGTGGCCTCCAAGCTCCTCAACCAGGTTGTGTCTCGCTTGGATAGGTTGAGCACATGCCGCTGGTTGAGTCCACATCAGGCCTGGCGTGGCGTGATTGCTGCAATGTGGACTGGCCTGCTCAACGCAAACCCCCCTGCACATGTCCTGATTTGCTGTGAGGGGTCAGTAAGCTAGGGAAAGAAAGTTCTGTTTGTAGGAAATCTGGTAGCTTTTAGACAAAATTTCCTGAAAAACAGCACCCAGTGGGAAAAGACTCAGCACAGAGTAATGAGTAGGAACATTCTGGAGCCCCGACCACCTGGCTCCAATTCTACCTACTACTCCTAAGGGTGGGGTCCGGGGCAAGTTACCTTCTGTCCTGGTGCCTCAGATTCGTCTTCTGTAGAGGAGGGTAATTGACTGCTTCCCTCAGAACCTATCAGTGCAAGTGAGTTGGTCTTTGTAAAAGATTGGAAACCATGCCTGGTCCTCATGGTACTATTTAGAGGGGCACTCCCATGACAAGCACCTTCTTGTCTCACTGAGGTCAAGAAGCTTGTGGGCTCCTGTGACAGGCTGTCTGTACCTTTGAAGTATTTTCCACTTGCAGCGTGTTCTCAACATCCCCAAGGCTCAGAAAAGCCCCTCAGAATCCCAGGCTGCCCATGCAGCCCCCCCCCCCAACATCAGGAAGGGCCGTTTCAAGTAACCACATGTTATTTTCTGCTTCCAGAACCTATCCCAGCTGCCCTATGGCAAGGCCCTGTACAGCTATGAGGGAAAAGAACCTGGTGACCTGAAGTTCAACAAGGGGGACATCATCATCCTGCGGCGCAAGGTGGATGAGAACTGGTACCACGGGGAGCTGCACGGCACACACGGCTTCCTGCCAGCCAGCTACATTCAGTGTGTCCGGCCCTTGCCGCAGGCCCCGCCCCAGGGCAAGGCACTTTATGATTTCGAGATGAAGGACAGAGACCAAGACAAGGACTGTCTGACCTTCACCAAGGTAAGGAGAGCCCCCCTGTCGGCCTCTGGGCCCACCTAGAGCCAGGGCAGCACCTTCCCCTGAGTTTGAACCCTGGCTCCTCCCTTAGGCCCAGGATAAAGGACGCAGCCTCCTGCTCTGTGCCTTCTTAAGGACCAGTACCGGCTGCATCTGCTTCATGGAGTTTTTGTTGAATGATATGAGATGGCACCAGCAGACACTTGGTCCACCCACAGGTGGCACAGGAGCATGACATCCCATGACCTGCCATTAGCATCAGTAGCAGGACTCCTGTTGCCCCAAGTCATGATTTTAAGCGTTAACTCCAGTGCAGGGAAATGAGTTTCGAGGATGCATGGGGTATCAGAGAAACTGCTGCACAGACCCGGGGCAGCTCACTGGGATGTGATAGCTGACGCCAAAGCAGGGCATCATAGCCCATCCCGCAGGCAGGCCAGGCCAGGCCAGGCAGGGGAAACTGTTTGAAATAGTCAGGGCCAGAGACTTAGTAGCAAACTAAATATATTTGCCCATGGAATTGTGCAGAGGGCCTGGTTTTGGCTGCCTTGGAGTTCCTTTGATTAGTTTTCTACTCCAAGTGCCTGACCACACTTTCACAGTTTATCCTTACCCCTCGCCGGGGTTCCAAGGGGGTCCTTGTCCTCTAGGTTGGTGCCTCTCTTCTCTCTCCTTGTCTTGTTCTGTCTGCCTGTTCTTCCCCCACTGTACACCGCTGCCCTCCCCAGTGGTAAATACCAGAGCTGTAATTCTACCTTTCTCTTTGAGGCCCATATTCTTCCCAATTCCTGGAGGCCACTGTTATTCTCCCTCCTTCCCACCGCCCCAGCTGCTGGTGCAGAACATAGCTGTGGCACCGCAGCTCCAGGGAGGGCTACAGAAGTGCCATGCACACCATTTTTTTTTTTGAGCAAAATTGGCATGTCCTTGCCCGGCTGCTATTTATGTCTTGTTCTATTGTTCATCCTGACAGTGAATAATCTATTTTTCATTCAGGGAATCCAACTCTTTCTTCCTTTCTTTCATCAAGGTGTTCAGATGCTGATTCCCATTGTCATCTGGCCCGTGCAACTTCCCAGGAAGCCAGGGGGCCCTCCTTCTCTCTCTCCTTCTTTCTTTCTCTTTCTCTCTGAGTGGCAGGCTTCCCAAGGTACCTCGCTTGCTTCTCTGCCCAGTGGACTCTGGAGAATCAGTCCTGAGAGGACCCTGGGGGCTGCTGATCCTCTGTGATGTCACTTGTGACCTCATAGTATCCAGTGATGGCCTTGCTAAGAAGATAGGCACCGAACAGTTTCAGGCTCAGCTGGCTCCAATGACAGAAACAACCAAGGTCAAGGTCCTCCTCCCAGGGCTTCCTAGGAGGAAATTCTGGGTCAGGAGAACTCCACTGTGAACAGCTTCAGCGTCTAGGAGCTTCTAGGCAGGTCCAGCTTGCCCCTGTAGAAGAGCATGTCTGCCTTGCCTACCATTGCCACAGCCTTTTCCATTCTAGGTGCCTCTGGCCAGGACTCAACTCCAGGTAAAGACCAGAGCCCTGTGGACAAAAAGACAAAGGGATGTTTGCCCACTTATTCTACAAAAACGTACAGGACCTGGTTCCATGTTGCGCACTGTGCTGTGTCCAAGGACAGGCAGGCTCCCTGCACACTCTGGAGCCTGAAGTCTTGAGTTTGGGGAAACCCAGGCCACAGGCAAGTCAAGAGAATTAAGTGTGCAAACGCCAACTTCAGAGGATGATGAGCTGTGCTGGATCATGCCTAGAAGCATGTGTAGTGAGGATCTCCAAATTCCCAATGATTCCCAAAGAGTCCCAAATTCCCAAAGAGTCCATTCAAAACTTCAAGGGAGACAACAAATTAGTCCTCAGGGACACCTTTCAGCTGTGTTCGGCTTGGACTTATTCTGTGCTCAGCATGTTTGGGGGTGCACAACTGTGTGAGCATGTCCCCAAGGCAAGCATTGTCATGCAGGGCCTCTTCAAAGGTGACCTTGAGATGGAGGAGCAGAGGTGCGAGCCATGAGAGGGTCTGGGCTTTCCTGTTACCTGGAGGCAATGACAGTTCCTACAGGGGCTGACTTTTCTTGAATTCATAACGACTTTCTTTTCTTGAATCCCATGGGTTCCTATGGAGAATTAGAGACCCCTGGATGCGATTCTCAAAGATATTCATGCTCTGACACCCGCCTCCCACCATGCTCCACATCCCCTTTTTTCCACCCTCACTGTAGTCCTATGATCCCCACAGAGTGAAATGTGGGAGAGGGGACAGCAACCTTAATAACTGTCCTGCTCCACGGGCACCTCTCAGTTCTAAATGTCTCCATATCCAGGCTCTGAAAGACATGGCAGCTCCTCAAGACTGCCCTCGACTTGATCTCTGTTTCCTGAGTCTCCTGAGGTTTCCCTCCAGTGGGGGCACCTGGCCCTGTTCATTGGCAGGACCTGGAACAATGCGGAGACAAACATGGCCACTGTCCTAACAACCTCCACTTGCTCACACTCCAGGTGACCCCGGGCACTCGTACTTCAGCTTCTCTGGCTAGTGCCAGACGATTTACCTCCAGAGACCAGTTTGTCCTTTGGATATGTTCCTTTCTGGCATCTGTAGGGACAGGGGGGGTCTCCAAAAATGGTGCAAACTTTCCTCTAAAGCACATCATTGTGTTCGATTGGAGGCACTTAAAGAATCTTGAAGCAGGTGAATCAAAGGTAGATTTTTTTACCTTCAATGTTGAATAGTCCTGTTAAAATGGCATTCATTAAAGTTGTTCTAAAACCAGTCTTTGTTCTATTTAAGAAGAGAATGAATAGTTACCTTTTGTAAAGCAGATAGAAAAAGCACATTTTATGACTTCTCAGTAGTCCCACTCCACAAAGCTGGGCTTGTGCAAACACAAAGACTTAAGGGCAGGTCCTGCCAACAGGGCTCAGGAGTGCTGCCCACAGCTCTTCTTCACCTGTGCCCTCTGAGTCCACAGCGGGGCTGGGCTTCGTGGAGATGCACCTGTGCAGATGGTGACCCAGGGATATGCTCTGGTGGCTTTAGGAAGACACTTAACCTTGCTGGTCCAAAGTGGCTTGACTTCATGTCAGTACACCAGTGCCCAGTCTATGGGGTCAGTGATACACGATCTAAGAGCAGAGCAGAGCTTAGGGCTTGGTCTACAGAGGGCAAGGTGAATGCCATTTGTATTTGGCAGTTTAATCCCAATCTCTCATTTCCTTTCAACTATGAAATTCAATAAATGTTTCTTGAGCCCCTACTATGTAACTTTCTGTTCACAAGGATGTCATCATCACTAGGGAACTGTGGTTGGCTCTGGAGGGCTTGGCCCGCCTTATGTATATCCTCTGCGATATCCAGGAATCCTCAAAGGCAGTGCCTGGCCGCTCACAGAACCACTTTTGCACCTGACTGCAGAGGGTCCTAGGCTTGCCAGGTCACCCCAGCTCCTCACAGTGTTGCCATGTGAGGAGAGAGCTGCGTTGCGGGCCCTCACCTCTCATTCCCTTGCCTGTTCCCAACCCACAGGGCCAAAAGGATGCTTTAAGTTGACAAATTTGACAAACACCGTTGGTGTCTCCATCAGCTCCTCTCATGTGACCTCCTTAAAGTCATCCCCTGAGTGTTAATCACCGTATATCAAAAGCATAGAGGCACGCCAGGCATGATAGCACACCCTGTAATCCCAGCAGCCCCAGAGGAGACAGAGGCAGAAGGATCACAAGTTCAAAGCCAACCTCAGCAATTTATTGAGACTCTGTCTCAAAAAATAAAAAAACAGACTGGGGATGTGGCTCAGTGGTTACATGCCCCCTGGGTTCAATCCCCAGTAACAACAACAACAACAACAACAACAAAAAGTAGAGCTCTCTCCTTTGTAAGCCAATCCAGCATGAATCCCAGATGATGTTCTCTGACCCAGGGGATAAACTTAGATGGGCAAAACTTAAATGCAGACAGAGTTTGGGTTCTCAAGTCAGTTGTAGGTTCAAGTCCCTCTTCTTGTATAGTGACTTTGGGGCATTTACTTAGTCTTTGAAGCTCTTTTTCACTATAAAATGGAGTTGATATTGGGATTAGGGGAGCAAAGCCATTGGAAAAACAGAGCTCAAATAGGTATTCCCATGAATATTTTCTTCCTGGTTCAGGAAAAGTTGTGGTTGTGCCTATAACTAACTCACAGAACATAAATGTCTCCTTAAGACACATACTGCATGCACAGCTGAGGATATCCAGGGCTACTCTGCTGCACTCTTACTTTCCTGGTGGCCGAGTCTTAGAGAGGTTTGCTCAGGGTATGAAATGGGCCAGCACCTTATATTGGTACCATTGCTCCATGGTCAGCAGAGCCAGCCAACTGGGCCAGCCTCTGGACCACTCTGTCATCCCTGCTTCCTCCTAAGTGGGAATTGGGATGCTTTCCAGGCTGGAAAGACTCAAGAATTTTTGCCTTCTGCTTTTTCCATGACTCAAAGTGAGATGAGCCCCCAGAAGAGCGGGGCTTACTAACCACTCTCTCCTCCCTCCTGAGCACCCCGGTGTTAGTCAGCTTTTCATCACTGTGGCCAAAATACTGAAAAAAAAAAACAACCTAGAAGAGGAAAATTTTGTTGGGCTCATGAGATCTGAGTCTATGGTCAGCTTACTGCTGCGCTCTGGGCTTGGGGTAAGGCAGAGCCTCATGGTGAAAAGGTATGGCGAAGGAGACTGCTTATCAACTCATGGCAGGTAGGAAACAGACAGCAAGAGAGGAGTCAGAGACAACATATAATCCCCAAAGACACGCCTCCAATGACCTACCTCCTCCAGCCACACTCCATCAGTCTACCATTACCACCCAGTAGTCCATTTAGATTATTAATCCATCAAATGGATTAATCCACTTCTTATGTCACAGGTCTCTAAATCTAATCATCTCACCTCTGAACATTCTCATATTATCCAACATGAGATTTGTGGGGGATACCTCATATCCAAACCATAACACCTCTCACTTGG